TCAGCCATGAGTCAGGAAAAATCTTTTCTTCTACATTCTGCTTTCCAAAAAACAAGGTGCATATGTGTGGTATGCAAGAAATTACAGCCTGTTCTTGGTGAGCAAGCTATCTGCAAACACTTCAGCTTGCAACAGAGCCACCAGGCCTGTTGTCTGTACCTATCTGACTTTTTCTTTAACTCATCAGCCTGGCCCACTTCACACTGGAGATCTAACTTGCACTGCAAATAGCTACTCGTTATTTCTCCAAAAGGAGCAGTGGAAGCTGGACCCCAGCACAGATGAGTGCTGGATCAGGCAGGATTAGAGCCAATGTTTTTGCCCCCAATGTGTGGAGGAAATGCTAGAAGCAGCATCCAACACAGATAGTTTTTGGGGGGTGTTCTCCCTAGGAACCTCAGACAGGCACTACTGATCCTCCACCATGTGACATGGCCACCTGCAACGTAGCAGGAAAGAGCATGTTGAGCCTAGAGGACTTGGAAATACCCTATGTTTTCCCACCACAATCTCTTTGAGCAGGGGGGCTCTCTCATCCTAGAGTAGGTGGAACTCCTGACTGTGTCCTTCAGCAGTGACCCAAGCTGTAGGGTGATGCAGACTCCCCTGGGAGGGGAGATCCCACAGCTGGCTGGAAGCAGCCTCGTGGTCTCCTGGTGGTCCTGGGCAAACTTTTAGTATTGGCCCCTTTTGTCAGAGATAATTATAATAATAAAAATTACCATTTTTGGGCCCCCTTTCTGTCTGGGCCCTGGGCAGCTGCTCAGTTTGCCCATGCCTGTATCCAGCCCTGGCTGGAGGTGGTGATAGTAAGGGGCAGGTTCCCAAACATGCTTTGTCTCAGGCAGCTCTCTGTTCTGCCAGGGTGAGTAGGGTTTGTTTGGAAGGGGCTGATGCATGAGAATCCCCCAAGGGATTCTGGGATCCAAAGATCATTACAGACCTGGGCAAAGCTAGGGAAAACCAGTACCCTCCCTCAGTTCAACAGAAGCAGCAGAGTCTCCATATGCAGTAAGGCTGCAGGGACTACTCAGAACTACAGGGCAGGCTGGAGCTCAACTGTGCAGCCGCAGGGCAAGGAGGGGACAGTCTCCCAGATCACAGTACAGGTACTAGGAGTCACCTACAGGCTAGGGAAACAGCAGGCAGGAGCTGTGAGGGTGATCCTGTGTGGTCACAGAACATGCTAGATGGGCAGGCATGGGGAAGCAGAGCCAGGAACCTGTCTAGTGCTCAGGACTCCTGCAGTGTTCAGGAAACCAGGACGCCTCACATTGCTTTGTAATTAAACAAGGGAACATACAAAACTGCCCAGGCCTGCACCACTGAGTTCTCCAACCAGAGGCAACAGCACAGGACCCCTGTATCAGGGCAGCTGGGATTAAGGATCAGAGTCCCGGGCTGGCCAGCTCTTTACAGTCAGCCGACTAGGCTAGGCAAGAGAGCAGGAGTTATACTCACACTCTGAGGAGGGAGGGAGGAGGGTACCTGTGGGCAGCTGCGGAGAGAGGGACCCTGTGCTCCAGCTGGGGTGCATGCCTCTGGGCACTTGGCATCTGAAGAACAAAACTGCACCTTGAAAGGACAGTCTGAAAAGGGAGGGGAAAAGGGGGTTTTTCCATTCCTGGGCTGGGGAAACCGCTTACCTGCCCTGTGGCCCTAACTCTGTAACTGCACCAGAGGTGCTATACCCACAGCTCTTAAGAGATCATCCAGAGATTTGCCAGGAAAGTGCATGCATGTGTGTGCACAATGTTTATGTGATATGTGGGTATATATGCTCACGTTCACCTCTCACAGCCCACAGTGCTGCTCTGTGAAGGACCCCAGCCCCTTAAATCAGGCTAATGCACATGTATAGATACACAGTGTCTCAAATGATCTGGAGCCACATGCTGGGTTGAGCACTGTCAGGGTGATGAGGGCCAGGTCCATGGCTCTGATTGATGGCTTTACTGGTAAAGGTAACCAGTAACCTTTAGCCTCAGGTCTCTAACATAAGCTTGACTACAATGAGGGATTCTGGGGCTGGTAGCCCAGCATTCATGGATCTCATGGAGCCTGCAGCCTGCTCACCACAGCCATGAGGATAAGACCAGGGTCTGCTTTGAGTCTCCTGCCAAG